TTATGATCTTGACTCCTCTGCGTCACCCATGTAAGTAGAGTCATTAAGGATTTGTCCTTTTCGTGATGGGCTTACTTCCCTGAGCATAATGTCCTTGAGGTCATTCATGTTGTGGCAGGTGTCAAAATGTCCTTCCTTTTTCAGGCTGAATAATAACCCAGCATATGGATGGACCACATTTTATTTATCCACTCATCTGTCAGTGATGCCCAGGCTACTTCCGCACCTTGGCTGCTGTGAACGTGAGTGCGCAGATTTCTCTTCGAGACCCCGATCTCAGTTCTTCCGGGGGTATACCCAGAGGTGGTCTCGTCGACATTCTTAAGCTATCGTGTGCTCGTAGGTTTTACCATTTCCACTGAACTGTGAGCTCCTAGAGTCAGGGGCCGATTACCCAGTTAGGTGTTGTTGAATGTTTGATAACGGTCTTCCTATGTGGGTGGGGAAGCCTTGATTTACAACATTTGCCAGTTTGCTTGGTGTACGGATAAAGATGACACTGGCCCCTGCTTGGAAGTCCCCAGTGCAGTTGGACCCTGTGCTGCCACCCGAGCCTCGTCCACACAGCCAGGCAACCCTACCCCCACCCCTGGGGAGTATAAGCCAAAGACACCCAGACTCAGAGCCAGGAGCCAAGCAAGGCAGGGGTGGGAGTGGACTGAGCTATGGTCTCTCCACCGAAGGACACCATTAAGGACGGTTTCTGGGGCTTGGAGGGGCTGGTTAAACTCTACTTCTTAGGTTGGACGGTGGGCACGTGGGCACTCGCTTCCTTAGTATCAAAGGCGCGCGACGATGTATATATACACTCTTGTATATGCGTGAGACATTTAGCACCTAAAAAGCAAAATAAAAACACACACAGACTCAGGTGCTATGTGTAGCTGCCCAGTTATGCACGCAGGTGCACCAGCCTCTCTCGGAGGTCTGTCTGCGGGTGTCAGAGGGACCCAGTCAGTCGCCTGCGTTCTGAAAAGCTCATTTAGGTGATTCTCCTATGTCCCCTGAGGGTAAGACTCACTGCTCTAACACAAAATTGCCCACGATCCCAGACTTTCGCGTCAGGATCCCTGAACTGGGGGAATGGTTGGAATGAGTCATTTGCTCTTCTCTTGGGAAGCCAAAGGGAGTACCGTGTGTCCAAAGTGTGAGGTCAGAGGTCATGGACAAGCCAGTGAATATCTTCTTAGGGGAGAAAGGCTTGGCTTCTCACACATTAAAACCTTTCCCAAAATTCACACCAGTATGCATTTTGATATTCCCATTCTATCAAAGGAGGCTGTACAACTTGGAAACAGTTTGCAAAACAAAGGTCCTGCCCCGTGAACCCACCTGCTGTCTTTGGAGCTCACACGGAAACTTCATGTCCGCAGAACCATGCAGAGTTCACTCTCTTACTCCCAATGTTTTATTTTTGTGAGAGTTTGATGTTGTATTGTGATACAACGCACACAACATAAAATCCACCGCCATAACCACGTCAAAGTGTACAACTTAGTGGCACTGAGTACATTTGCGCTGTTGGGTAGCTGTCCCCTCTATTTCATTCCAGAACATTCTATCATCCCACAGGAGACTTGGAGACAGTCCTTACCCCTCTGTCTCCCCAGTCTCTGGCAGCCATGAGGCCACTTTCTGTCCCTGCGGATTTTCCTGCAAATTGGATCATACGACGTGTGTCTTCCTGGGTCTGGCCTCTGTTGCTCCACGTGGTGTTTTCAGGGCTCATCCCCGTGGCAGCGTCAGTGCTTTGCTCTTTACTGAGACCGAGTGACGCTTTGTGGTGGGGGGGTGGGGAGGACAGACCGCGTTTGGTGGGTCCGTCGGTCAGGTGGCAGACGTTGGGCTTTCCCATCTCCGGAGCAGTGCTGCTGTGCACATTTGTGTGTGGACACAGGTCGTCGCGTGTTTTGGGCACCCCCTCGGGGAGGAACGTCGGGGTCGGGGGGTGACGCTGGGTCTGGCTCCCGGAGCCCCAGACTTCTCTTTTGCATCAGGATCCCTTCCCCAGGCAGGAGGTGAGGCCTGTGTGCGCAGCGAGCGCCCAGATGGTTCTCCGCGGGCTGGGTACCCACCGTCCGGTGGCGGGGCCACTGTGAAGAAAGCTGCTGCGAACATTCCCTGCTCGACAGTGGGGACAGAATCGCACGTCTCCCCGGGAACGCCCCTAGCTGTGGACGCTCGCTGGCACATGGGCGCACACCCCTCCCCTGGGTCGCCTCCTCAGGTGCCCGGCCTGCGTCCTCCGCTCCTCTAAACCTCCCCAAGGCTCACAGCCCACACCCCGGGGGGCCGCAGAGGGGACCTCCAGGGGCTTCCCAGGCAGATGTGGGGGGGAGAGAAATGCGTCGGGGGCAGGGACCACACGCAGGCATCTCCTTCCGCGGTGTGGGGAGGGGAGTGTGTTCCTCGATTCCTTGGCCAATGGACGCCACCGTGGGCCAGGTCTGTGCTGGGCTCCGGGGATGTGTGCCGGCAGGGAAGGGTGACAGGAAATCGGAGAGGCCAGGAGTCAGGGGGCCAGAGCCACAGTGACACACGGACAGTCAGCAGGGTGATACAGAAGTGCTGCTTTGGAAGGGGAATCAGGAGGGCTTCCGGGAGGCAGTGTCATGGGAGCAGACCTACTCAGGAATGGCGAGGTGAGTGCCCCCCAAGGGGATCTTCTGCAACGCAGGGGGAGGGGTGCTGGGCACCAGGCATTAGCTGTCCTCAGCTGGTCTCCTCACTGTCCCACTGGCTAGTGGTGTAGACACAGGGACAGGTAGGTAATGGTCTCCCGAAATGGCTTTGGTCTCTCCTCTGTTCCCTCCTGCTTCAGGGCCTCGGGCTGGCCCTGGGACTCAAGTTTGTCACCTCTATGCCCTTCACACCATGTGCAAGGACCAGGGTGTGGGGCAGGAGCCAGCCTGGCCTGATTCACAGAGCGAGAGGGACACATGAGAAGAGGTGAAGAGCCTGCAAGGGACGGCTGTGCAAATGTTCTCAGCGGCACAGCCAAGGACGAGGTGCCTCAGGGCACACGGTCTCAGGAGTGTGGAAACGGGGCCCCCAGCCTGACTGGCACCCCAGCGGGGCCCTCAGTCTGCCCTCCTGTTGGGAGGGTGAGAAGGTCCCATCAACAAGGACACTGGAGGCCCAGGCCCCCCCCAGTAGGTGGCGTGGCACGGGTTCTTGCCTGTGCCTCCGGGGGTGGGGGGGGTGTCAGCCTGCGAGTGGGCCCCGGGGGTAAAGCGGTGGGCAATTCAGAGCCTGAGCAAAGCACAGTCGCTGCCAGGCTTCTCTGGGCTTCCTCACCATCCCGACACCCTCCTGGGGACACTGACCCACCTCCCAGCTCCCCCGCCCCCCCGGCCACCTTCCCGTCAGCCTGTGGCTGTCCGCTGTCAATCCTGGCTCCATCCCGTCACCCAGTGAGGCTCTCACAGGTGTAAAGCACCCAGTGGATGCCTGTGGCATAAATGCACCAGCGAGCAGGGGATTAATCAATCAAGCAGTTAATGAAAGAATTGATGACTTGGTGATCTGAGGGTCCAGGGCCATTGGCCGTGACAGCCTCCCCAGGGCCCATCCTCACCACCTGGTCGCGTCTGAACAGCACAGCCCACCTTCCCTCAGACGCACAGATCGCCATCCTGGATGGGGGCAGGGTGTGGGCAGAACGCCGTCTTCCCAATTCTTTAAGAAGGGACTTGGCACTGGAGCAAAGTGGGTCTTAAGGAAGCCCAGCCCACCCCCTCCTTCCCAGCCTGGCAGGACCCCCGTCTGTGGCCTGCCTGTGGCCATTTCCCAATGTTTACTTACTGAGTTGACACACGAGTGTGTCGGGGGGGGCGGGTCTGCCCCTTTCTGGCGCCCTCCACCCCCACCTCCTCCACTGGCCACGCAGGGGAGCGTGTCCCTGTGCTCCAAGGGGACCCCATGCCCCAGCTCTCCTGGGGCCAGCGAGACAGGCGTGGCTTCCGTGCACCCCTCCACGGCCCGCCGCCCCTCTTCGTGCATCTGCCGGAGGCTTGCTGAGACAGGTGCGTGGGGCCCCTGGTCACCTGTGGGTGGCTTATGCAGCCCTCCTTCAGGATTCGCTGCACAGAAATTCTGGGGCTAAAAGCAGCCTCTTTAGAACTTCGAAGGCCGTGCTGCTGTCACCTACGCCCCATGTGGTGGCCGCCAAATCCAGTGCCAGTCAGATCCCTGGCTCTTCCCAGGGGACCTGGGCTGCCCTCTGGAAGCTGTAAGAGTCAGTTTGGTATCCCCTGGTTCTGGAAATGCCACGACACCCCGCCTGGGGGGGGGGGTTCCTTCAGCCTGGAGCCTCACACCCTCCTGTTTGGGACATTTTCTGGAGGATGATTGGCTCGGCGATGCTCTCACTTCTGGGTTCTCCTAACTCACTAATTGTATGCTAGATTGTGCCTAGACCGTGGTCTAGTTTCGTATCTTCTCTTGTAGTTCTCATTTTGCTTTTTTATAATTTATGGGAAATTTATCCTCAACTGAATTTTCACTTTTGCTATTTATATTTTAATAAAAAAAGAACTCTTTCTTTTTAAGTTGATTTAAAAAAATTTTTTTAATGTTTTATTTATTTCTGAGCAAGAGAGAGACAGAGAGAGAGAGAGAAAGAGACAGCATGAGCAGGGGAGGGGCAGAGAGAGGAAGACACAGAATCCGAAGCAACTCCAGGCTCTGAGCTGTCAGCATAGAGCCCGACGTGGGGCTCAAACCCATGAACCACGAGATCATGACCTGAGCCCAAGTCAGATGCTTAACTGACTGAGCCACCCAGGTGCATCTAAGTTGATTTGAGAGGGAAAGAGAGAGTGGATGCAAGCAGGGAAGGGGCAGGGAGGGAGAGAACTGCAAGCAGGCTCTGTGCTGTCAGCACAGGGACCAATTCAGGGCTCGATCCCATGAACTGTGAGATGATGGCCTGACCTGAAATCAAGAGCAGGACACTTGGCCAACCGAGCCACGCAGGCACCCCAAAAATGAGCCCTTTCTTATTTTCTGCCTGTTCCTTTTTTATAGCCTCTTGTCCTTAGGTCATGGGTGTGGTATTTTCTCTGATCTGAGAGATTTTTTTTCTCTTCTGTATGATCTTCTGTTCCTCTTGTTTCCGTTTCCTCAAGGCTCCTTTATTTTCGTAGGTAGAGAATCTATCTTTCGTGTTAGATGCTCTTCCCTCGAGGGGCTGGTGATCCTGGCGGTCTGCTGGTCTTCGGAAGAGGCACAAAGGGCTGATATGAGCAGTGTGGCCAGGTGGGGTGAGGGTAGACCACCAAGGTTAGGCAGCAGGGTCCAGGCATCCAGCCAGAGGTCTTGCGAAGTCCCGCCCACTCTGCAGTGTCCTCCAGTCTCCTGCACAGGTGGGGGGGGGGGGGGCAAGCCTGGCTGCCGGAACTCTGGGAATTAGCAGAGTCAGGGCCAAGGTCACCTCTCAAGATGTGCCTGTGAACTCATCTCCCTGTTCCTCCCTGGCTGGTGCGTGTGGTTGTGCCTGGGCCCCTCAAGCCCAGAGCCTCCTGGCTTTGGCCCCCAAGAGCGAGCCGGGGGCCCCCAGTCTTCTGCCAGCCTGCGTAACCTGGGCCTGGGGTCTAAGCACTCCTTTAAAAGGCTCATAACTCCTCTTGCTGGTTCTCAGCCCCGCTCTGCACCCCACCCGCAGGGCCCCCTGGGGTCCTGAATGTTAGAGCCTCTGTGGCTTTCCCTGGTGCCACCGCCACGGCCTCCACAGCGCCTGCTTCCTGCTGAGGAGACAAGACGCCAGCGTCCCTCTGTGGTCCCTGCTGGGTCCTGGGAGGGGTAGGGGTGCGTGTGTTTGTGAAGCTGGGTTGAACTGGAAGTCACCCCCTTACATTGGATTTGTCTGGAAGGAGCTCTCGCCGTGGCCGTTCCTCATCTCCAGCTACCACCATACTTGCCTCCAAGCACTCAGTAGAAGCGCTGGTCAGAGGGGGTAAGTCTTCTGGAAACATCAAGAAATGTCACCTGAATGCCTGCCTGCAAGACAAAGAAGAGAAGCCGTGAGTGTCTGACCCAAGAGCCAAAAGCTGGGGGGTTGTGGGGAAGGGGCCAAGGGCACCCGCCAGCCCCTCCCACTTCAGGAAGAATCCGGGCACAGCATCATAGCACAGTTGTGTGAGTTGCTGACAAATAAAATCAGGTTTCTCATGAAATCCAGATTTCTAGGGGCGCCTGGGTGGCTCAGTCGATTAAGCATCTGACTCTTGATCTCAGCTCAGGTCATGATCTCACGGTTTGTGAGTTCCAGCCCTGCTGTTAGCACAGAGCCCCACTTGGGATTCTCTCTCTCCCCTCTCTCTGACCCCCCTCCACTTGTGCAGGCTCTGTCTCAAAAATAAATAAACATTTTAAAAAATCCAGATTTCTAACTCCCCTTGAAAACCAGCAGGCCTGGCAGCTCTGGACCCAGCATTGCCTTCGGCATTTAAAGCCAACTGTGCTTGACAAGCCACTTAATTTTCCTGAGTTTCTTTTCTTTTTTCCAACATTTTTAATGTTTATTTTTGAGAGAGAGAGACAGCATGAGTGGGAGAGGGCCAGAGAGAGAGGGAGACACAGAATCCAAAGCAGGCTCCAGGCTCCGAGCTGTCAGCACAGAGCCCGGTGCGGGGCTCGAATTCACAAACCGCGAGATCATGACCTGAGCTGAAGTCAGGCACTTAACCGACTAAGCCACCCAGGGCCCCCCTGAGTTTCTATGTATTTGTCTGTAAGATAAAATTTTACTTTAAATTTCTGAAAAACAGTCTGGGGCAACGGCCGTCCCTCCCACCCAAGAAACATGCCGTCCAAACCCTGCCCACCATGACACAGCTCTCCCCACCCGTGAGTGTGCGAGCCCCAGGCCTGGAGAGTTCGGGCAGCGGCGGGCAGGACCCTGGCCCTTGCCTGTCTTCTCCACCCACCTGGCAGCAGTTTGCCCTGCACATCTGGACTAGGTGCTCACACCTGCTGTAGGCGCTGGGGCCCATGGCTGCCCCGACAGGGCTGGCATCCTAGGGGGCAGAGCCGAGGGCACCTGTGGGGATAGGATGAGGGGGGTAAAGTAGGGAGGGAGGCAGGAATCCTGGGTGGGGGCTGCTTTGCCATTTTCGCAGGGTGGCTAGTAGCTGCAGATGGGCTGTCTCATTGGATGGCCTCAGAAAGAGAAGAAGGGGGGGCTGGGCCATAAGATGCCCGGAGGAAGTGGAAACCGCAAGGAAAAGGCCTCCCTGGCATTTCGAGCCCCTTGGGCCCAGACGGGAGGAGCAGCCACGGCTCTGTCACAGGAGGGGGTGGGGACCCGCGTGGACCCCCTCTGGCACCGTGGGGCCCCTGTGTGACTCTCACGTGCGTGGACGGCGCAGCTGGCCCGGCCCGAGAAGGCACGGCGACCAGGGGCTCGGACCCTCAGGAGTGAGGATGCGGGTCACGCCCCCAGGTAGGCCCCCATGACCTGCAGAGGTGACAGCAGAGGTGGGGTGAGGCTGGCCAGCTAGGCTGCACAGCGGAGGACGGAGGGGCTGAGCACCGGCTGAGCCCCGAGACCGGCGGTAACGACGGGGCTGGTTGGCCTACGCCCGCTAGGAGATGTCCCCCGGGAAGAGAGGCCGGGGCAGCCCTGGAGGAGCCCCCACGCGCAGGGGACAGCGCCCGCAGGCACAGGGAGGGAACTGCGGCCGCACAGGTCTCTTTCCTAAAGGGACTTGCAGCCCAACCGTGAGGGGCTGAGCTGAGCACCTGTGGCCCGAGGCTCTGACTCCGGCTTTGTGAGACCAGCCAAGACGGTGGGAGGCAGTGGCAGGGCCAGGCCATTTCTGCCCTGTGTGGGCCCCTCCCTGGGACAGTCTCTCCTGGGCAGCAGCTCCGGCTGGGTGGGCAGAGACTTGGCCAGGTCTGCATCGCGGCTGACAGCTCCAAGCCCAGCCTGACTTCCCCGACCTCCCCCCACGGGTGTTCCCCCCAATAACGTGCCCATCGCTTGTCTCGGCACCTGCTTGCTGGAGAAACCAGCACCCTGTTGCTTGGACTTTGTGAGATGACAGGCTGGGCAGCCAGGAGAGCTCATCTATTCACTCAGCCAACATGTGGGGTGGATATGTAGCAGCACACTGGAGACGGTGGCTTTCCCAGCCTGGGTGGGCACGCGGGCTCTGCTCGGTCGGTGGGCAGGCTCCTCACCTGTCCTCGGCCTTGGCCTCGTGTCTGGAGAACCGCTCGAGAATGTTGCTGCACCTGTCAGGCTGCTTAGCACGATGCCCAGCACACACTCAACAATTACGAGTCTCAACTGCTAGGGCTTCTCCTTCCAGTGCTCACTGCAAGGTATTTGCTGTGCGGGCCTTATTTTTCAACTGAGAAATGAGAATGCGTGGTCTACACGCATCAGGATGGGGGTGTTAACAACAGGCTTGAAGACTTGGAGCTGGAGATCGGGGTCCCTGGGCTGCATGCCTGTGTCCCCTGTGCTGCATGATGGGCCGGGATGCGAGGCTTCCCCCAGGAGCGGGTGCCAGCCCTCTGCCAACACCTAGCTTTGAAGAAACCCGTCTGCTCTGCTCGTCTTAGCACACGAGTCTGCCCCTCGGGCAAACGTTGGCAGGGAGCGGACGCCTGGTGCCATGGCACTCGCCCGAGCAGGGAAATGACCCTCGTTCCTGGATGGAGGAGCAGCACCGCCAAGACCCGCACACCCTGTCCCCAGATAACATCAGTCCGGGCCCGGTTCACTTCACACGCTGCCGTGGGAATATAAAGTGGTATAGCCACTTTGGAAAACAGTCTGGCCGTTTCTCACAATGTTAAATATAGAATTACCATATGACCAAGCATTTCTACTCCTAGGTATATACCCGGGAGAAATAAAAACATAAGTCCACACAAAAGCTTGTACACAGATGTTCACACCACGTTATTCGTAGGAGCTAAAAGGTAGAAACGGCCCGAATGTCCATCACCTGAGAAAACACAACCAACTTCGTACAGTGGAATGTTACTCAGCCATAACCAGGAAGCACCGATAAACACAGCAATGTGGATGAGCCTTGAGAACACCTATAAAGGAAGCCAGGTGAAGAAGTCATCACATAAGACCACATAGCGTAGGGGCACCTGGTTGGCTCAATCAGTTGAGTCTGACTCTTGATTTTGGCTCAGGCCATGATCCTGGAGTTGTGGGATTGAGCCCCATATCAGGCTCCGTGCTGAGTGTGGAGTGGAGCCTGCTTGATAATCTCTTTCTCCACCTCCCCCCTCAACTAGTGCTCTCTCTTGCTCTAAAATAAAAGCCAAAAACAATAATTAAAAAAAGACCACATAGTATAGAATTTCATAGCAGAGAAATTTCTAGAACAGGCAAACCCACTGTAGTTGCCTAGGTCCCAGGGGAGAGGGGAGTGTGGAGTGATTACTAGCAGGTAGAGGTTTTGGATGAAACGATCCAGGATTATACAGGAGATGGCTTCACGGCTCTGGTGCTATGCTAAACCCCACTAAACTGTACGCTTTACATTTTTTTTTAATATTTATTTTTGAAAGACAGAGACAGAGCATGACTGGAGGAGGAGAGAGGGAGACAGAGAATCTGAAGCAGCTCCAGGCTTTGAGCTGTCAGCACAGAGCCCAGCGTGGGGCTTGAACCCACAGACCCAAGCCTAAGTTGGACGCTTAACCAACTGAGTCACTCAAGTGCCCCTAAACTGTATGCTTTAAAAGGGTGAATATTATGATATGTAATATCTCAATAAATTTTTTATTTCTATTTATTTTTTTAAAGCATCTTTGAGACAGAGAGAGAGAGAGAGAGAGAATGCCATCAGGGGAGGGCCAGAGAGAGGGACAGAGGATCCCAAGCAGGCTCCGTGCTGACAGTAGCAAGCCCAACGTGGGGTTTGAATCATGAACCAATGGATGCTCAACCACTGAGCCACCCAGATGCCCCTCAATAAAACTTGTAAACAGATAAGGAAATGAATACGGCATGAATTCCAGTCCAGCCCATTGGGGAGACATCAGACCCTGAGGTTCAGCAGTGCAGGCTGAATGCCATTTGTGAAAAGGCTCTGCCCCCAAACCCCGCAAGAGTCCCAAGGCAAAGGCGGCTCTCCTCGTCCAGAGCCTGGAAAGACAGCATGTTTTCATGCAGGTGTGCGATGGCCTGTAGGAACAAGACGGACCACGGGCTACGGCTTCAGGTATCGTGCCCCCTGTCCGGCTGCTGGTACTTGCTGGAAAAGCTGAAGTGGCCTTGTGCCGAGGAGCCATCTTCCTGGGGGACAGCCACCTTCCCAGCCTGGCCCACGTGCTGCCCCGTGTCCACCTCAGCACCCAAAGGCCCCTAATGCGCATTATTTCTTGCCACATTTATGCATGAATCCAGCCTTTGCATTCAGGGTTTTTAAGACAGCAGCAGAAGGGAAGGTTTATTGGGTTGATGCCCGACCTTAACACAAGTGAAAATACCTACATGCCTGGCGGAATGTGTTTCATCCGCACGCTCCAGCCTTTTCCTGGGCCGTGAGAATGTCTTGGCGTCCGCGGGGCGCTCAGGTCGGCTTACGGAGCACTGTCAGCGGAGACCAGGCTTTGGGAGGCTGGGCGCTCTCTCCCAGCCTCTGCCACCCCTTCTTACACGGCTCCATTCTTGGGGCTGCAGTTCTGCCCCGCCAGCACGGAGTGCCTCGCCTCAGAGTGGACTCGGAGCAGGCATCCGAGGACGCTCGGGTAAGCCTGTGGGTTACCATGGCAACTCCCCACGATGCATGGCGCGGCCTTTGCACAGGGTCAAGAGAGGACAGAGCCCTGAAGGAGTAACTACTTCCCCAAATGCCCAGGGCAGCCCCCATCCGAGGCACCTTTGAAGGGTGAGCTCCTTGAGCACAATAACCCCTTCTGACCTCTGTCCCCCAGGGCTGAGTGCGGCGGGGCGCGGTGTGCGGGCCAGCAGCCTGACTCTGCAACAGGAATCCCAGCCCTGCTACTTGCTGGCTGTGTGGCCCTGGCCGAGCACCTCTCCCTGGCCGGCTCCCTCACCCCTGAAGGTGCGGTATCACACCTCCAAGGCCCGGGGCCAACGTTAGGGGAGGAGAATGCACGGCCGGGCGGGCACCGGTGCGGGCACAGGGCAGCTCGGTAAACACTGGCTGTTGCGGGCACTTAGTAACAGCGTGGCAGGTGGCCCCGACAAGGTGCTCTGTTTACTTTCTCTCCAAGTATAACAGACACGTGCACAGAAGTGCTCAGGTCCCAGGGGTTGAGCTCCACGGCTGGCCACTAATGTAATGCACCTGTGTAACCAGCACCCACGCATGGCTGGCTCCCAAAACCACGAAGGCTCCTTCCAGCCATCAGGGCCCTGGTGACGGCCACTGCAGCGGCGTGTGTGCGCCTGTCTGCCCGCGAGCACACGAGCAGGGGGTCAGGCCGTTCGTTCTCCATCTTTCTCTGGTCACCCTGTCCGTGCAGCCGAGGTCCACTCAGGCTCGGCGCCCCAGACATTCCAGCAGGGCACACGCTGCCATCAAAGGTCCAGTCTCCTGAGAGCGGGCCCGGTGGTTTCCGGTTTCACTGTGCAAACGTCCTGGTAGCTACTGGCGAGCAGACGCACCGTCACAGGGTCCTTAGAGCTCTCCTTCCCCGTTTGTCACATACCCACTCCTCACCCTCAGCCATCGCCTTGGTCACTCCGTAGTCCCTTCCCTCTGCCCTCGGGAACTGCCAGGGGCAAGGTCCAGTGGCCCTGCTGACTCCCTGCCCTGGCGGCTCTCACGGCCCCTGTAAGCTGAGCCCACAAACGACGGCATGCTCCCCGGCCAGGCTGGCTGCAGAAGGGCTCTCGGGCTGCTGGGGGGCAGGCAGGCACCGTAAGGGGGCCCTACCAACTGGCAGGGGAGGGAGGCCCCTGAGGGAGGTATGGGGATGGGGGAACCCGGTGCCACGCCCAGGCTGTTACTGCTTTGCTGTTTACCAGCTCTGTCCTCAGCAGGCCACCCCCTCCCGCCACCTGCCAGGGAAGCTGCCCCTGCTGATGCCCTCTCGGCCTGGACACCTCTTTTTCCCAGGCGGAGTGGGGAAGAGGTGGCAAGGCCCTGGGGCTGAGGACGGCTCCGGTAGTGGCCCTGAGGCTGCCACCCTGCCCCTCCCCCCCCAGCTGTCACCCTCACCACCAGGGCCCCGTAGGCAGGGATCCCAGACGGGCGTGACTGGGTTCTTCTGTGCGCTGGCCCCGCGTGAGCAGCTCCCCGCAGGTTGGGCGCTCCGTCTCTCTGAGGTGGGGTCTGGAGGTCGGGGACACTGGGAGAGCCCACAGACAAGAGGCGCTGGGCCGGGTTCCAGCAGTGAGGCCCAGGCACCTGTCCCCCCGCACCGTCCCCACTCTTCAAACACTGGGTTGCAGGGGAGTTGACAGCCACCAGGCGAGAAGCCCCTCGGGCCTCCTCTGCTGCCCCTTCCTATTTCCAGAACCTCGAAGGTTTCCCTCTGAATTTCTGAGGGGCAGCTCACTTTGGGGATTCCCGTCAACTCTGCTCAGCCCTCTGCCCAGACGGGAAAGGTGGCCGGGGCTGCTTGCCGGGCCTGGGGTCCTAACGTCTGTCTTGTGCTTCTCACTCCCTGGCTCCCTCACACCAGGGCGCTTAGCGGGGGGGGGGGGGGGAAGGGGGAAAGGGGGAGCGAGATGCATGAACCTCAGGCCCTCACCTATTGGTGCCCCCGAGTCTCTAAGGAAAACAGCCCTGCAAGGCCCTGAGCAGGAGGAAATGGATTTTAACTGGATTCACAGAGAGCAGGTCAGACCTCCGAAGTCCTGGCTACGCAAGAGCAATGAGACCCCCTCCTGTCTTTTCTCTCCCCCCTCCTCCGGCCACGGAACACACCCACCCTGGGCCTCCAGCCCCCTTCCCTGATGGGAAAACCTAGTAGGTGGTACCGTCAAAGCCAGCCCTGACCTCCGCGCAGCCCACCTGTAATCTCTCAGCTGCCTCCTGGCCCCGCTCTCTGCAGGTGCGCCAGGGCTCCCCCAGAGGGGAGCATCTGCCCTCCCTTGTGCCAGCCTCAGGGGATGGCTGAGGCCCTGGCTCCCTGGCATGCTCCCACACTTCAGCCCACGGACTTGACTTCCACTCTGTAGATCACCTATTACTGACAAGTCTTCGAATCTACTCAGCTGTTACCTTTTGCTCCTAATAAGCAATGAAACCTGGGAAACCAACAGTCACGTGGCTCATTCTTTCTCAGGGGGACATTAGAGTCACAGTGCTGTCCCGTGATGATGTGCCTCCTACTGCAGGACACTGCCTGTGTGACGCTGCCAGCCTGTGACGGAACCCAGGGCGGCATCCCACACCCACATATTCACACCCGTCCTTACGAGGGCCCACTTCACTCTCCTCCATGCACACAGCAGGTGCTTAGTAAGCGCCTCATGTTTGCAGCGGGAACCTTGGCAGCTGGCTCTGTGGTCCTAGCACAGCCAGGCCCCCATTGGGTGGGCCCAGGCTGTAGGCTCCCCACCCCCGCCAAGGCCCCCACAGGCACCGTCTTCCAAGCTCTTCGCCAGCCCCGACGAGATGCCCAGGACGGCTGTAGTTTCCATTGGACAAATGGAGAAACTGAAAGAGGGAGTCCGAACTGCTCAGGGTTCCCTGGCTCAGAGTCTAAGGCTCGGCGATTACCAAGTGGGTAAGGCTCGGGGAAGAGCTGTTTAGGGCGGAGGTGCTGGATGGGTGTGCCCCAGCTTGGGGCACGGACCACACGGATGGCCTCTGGAGTCAAGTTCAGGTCCTGCCACAAATGCTCCCCTTCTCAAACCTTCTGCAAGTACCCTGCACTCTGGGCAGGACACCAAGGAATGAATGGGAGTGCTGGCATTCCTGGGCCTGTGCACCCCATATATTTTTAGCCTCTGCCCTGCCTGGGCATTTGCCCCGTGGCTAATGTCCTCAGGGAACCACCTAGCTGCACACCAAGGAGCCTGTAGGCTCTTTGAGGTCTCTGAGAATTACAATGTACCCTGGTCCTGAGGCTTCGGATCTAACTCTCTTTTCCAAGAC